ATTGGAGTTTACTATGATAACACCATAATACCTATTATCTCATCAACTTAAAGTAGGAATTTGTTGAATTTGGTTTGTACAAACATTGAGAAAGTCAAGCAAGAAGACACAATTAAGTTGGCTACGTTTTTTCATCTTTTACCACAGCCCCCTATATATTTACTTATGGCTCCTGTTGTATCATGTTTTGCTACACTATCAGGGGTGCATGTTAAACCCAGCGTTTTACATGGATTTCTATCAGGGTCGCATTGACTGCCTCAGTGTTTCTAGGTTTAAATGTATTCTTTTTTTTCCCAGTCAGTGTGGCAAATGCAACGCTATTATTATCATATTAATTTGACACATCTAGAATAAATAAATATCTATTTTATCAACTACATTATTTACAGGAAATTTTTATTTTCTTAGTTGGGAATCTGACTTGTATAACAAGTTTCAAAAATATGTGTTAACTTTTTGTAAAATACAATCTAATACGAAAATGTCAAAGTTCCTATATTCTGTGAGCCAACAGGCGTTAACAATCTAAATAACGATAAACATTTTCCCACCCTAACAGGTGTAATGGGAAATGTTAATCAAGCACAGGCTTTACACACCCACTCAATCCTTAAAAAAAGGTTTAATGTGAAGATATGTGAATAAGGTCTAGCATGAAACAAGCTTTAGAAATGTGGCTTGTCTTTTTCTCAAATGTATAAGAACACTAAAAGTAAAACTTTGTACATGCTCCAAAATCAAAAAATATCAGATGTCAAAAGAAATCAAAGAAACACGAAATTTAATGGAGTCTAAACTATAAGTAACTATTAATCCCAGTTCATGGGTAATCTCAGTTACCCATGAAGCTTTGACAGAAGTACAAAAGTAAAATAAAATAAAATCTGAGTGGTAAATGTTTCTGGTTTATCTGGTTTATCTTTTTTCAGTATTTCTTTTTTCTTTGTTTCTGGGATTTTCTTTTCACATTTCTCACCCACATATTTAATCCAATAAATAGACAAAAACAAGTTGTAAATATTACAATTACATTTTTCTAGTTCTTATGTTGAGCTGATTGGCCAAAGTTGGCTGTTTGTAGCAACTACTGACTAAAGTTTGCATTCCTTAAATTGCGCTCTGTTTTAATTTCTTTTTTTGAATTACTACCAAACTCCTTTGGAGCTACACATGCCAGTTCTAAGTCTGAATCAGTAGTTTGGTGCCAATGACTGTAGTACAAAGTGAGCTTTAATGTTTTCTATTTAAAAACTTTAAATGTAAAGCTGCAGAGTCAGTAGCTGTTTCTACCAGAAATCCCATTCACTTTGCCCCTGTTTTCATTGTCTTTTTTTTGTTTGTTTTTGTGATATTATAAAGACAGCAAAAACTGATTCTTTGTTTGACATTACGAGTGTCACAGCAGGGGTTACCGGCACTGCCTGTACACCCAACTGGGTTTTTGTCAAAACAGCTGGAGGATATTTGGGCTCAGATGGCTGCTGTGGCCAAGAGCCCAGTCACCCCAGATAAGCAGCTGCTCATCTCTGAAATAAAATTAAAAGCACGGAGAAACACTGGAAAATGTGGAGGAAAATATGGTGCCACAGATTGGTTTGTCAGCAGTGATTAGAAGTCTAACATTCAGGATTGCTATTATGTTGGAATGTTCTTATTTTTCACTTTCAGTTTTCCTTGATTTGAATATTGTTATCCTTTAAGTGGGAAAATTGCTCATAACTTTATGGAGTGTTCTCATGTCGGAAAAACTAATGTTTTGGTGACAGTTCAGATGCACTGCAACACCATCAAATAGAAATGCTGTAGAAGGACATTAAAGAAAATGGAAGTTGAATAAAATCATTGGAAATAAGAAAAAAACACTATGGAAGCTGAATAAAAGAAAAAAAAAACCACATAGTTTAAAAAAAACCTTAAAAAAAACACAACAGAAGTGTTTTAGGTGAGACAATAACATGACGAAACAGTTGTGGAAATGACAAGCTAATACTAAACAGCTTCTTACAACACTGATGAAGCTTCTGCTTTTCTTAACCATGTATCAGTGCAATCCTTTCGTCACTTTCTTTAAGTTGTGTTTTGTGAGATTTTGCTTAAATACTTAATACTTGAAATGTGCTCAGTGCAATAGACCTCAATACCTCAATACTTGAAATGTGCAATTCACTTGTATTTTTATTTTTTATTCCTATTTATTCTATTTATCCCCTTCTGTATATTTTATTTATATTTGTCTCTGTATTTATATATGGTGGTGTTGTGTTGTTGTGTGTGTGTGTGTGTGTGTGTGTGTGTGTGTTGTGTTGTGATGTATGTATGTATGTATATATATATATATAATTCTGTAACTCTGTAACTTCTGTCGTTGCTGTGCTTTTTTTGGAAGTCGAATTTCCCAGAGGAACCCACCCGAGGGATTAATAAAGTTCTATCTTATCTCTTATCTTATCTTATCTTAAAGTTACTTTTATTGATCCAACTTTTTGATTCAACTTTTGTTGTGATTTGTGTGCTTTTGCAGCATTTTTCTATTTGCTGGTGTTTTCCTAAGTTGCAGTGCATTTGAACTCTCAAGTACACCATAGAGCAATGTGTATAAAAAGGGTTTCATCTGTTTATTGAAATGTGGAATGACTCATATGTATAATGTCAGAAATGGAGTTTCAAAATGTACTGTAACTGCTCCCAGTCCTTACACTAAACCACTGAACATAATTTTACTACGTATCATGAGTATTGATAGTTACGGTACAATACAGTAGTAAGTTCATCGCTAAAATTCATCACTAAATACTGCAGCATGTTTGTTAAAGAACAGTACACTTTTTCATTTCATGCAACACTTCAGCTGCTTTCACTGCTGATATGTCTAATGACACTTTGGCAGACAACATCACATTTAGTGTGTGTATAATGTATAATGTCCACTTACACTGACTCAGGTACATCTCAGGTCGTTATTGTAGAAATCCCTTTAAAAAATTATGCTTATCCTTCATTTGAAGTGACACTTTCTCTTCAACTGCAAACTTCATAGCTGACATGTGAAAATGGATTTCAGGTGATGTAACAGCGTACAGTCCAGCTCACATTTCAGCTTCTTATGATTAAACCCCATTAATTTCAGTGCATTCACACACCATTTGTCTTCACTTTTCCACTTCTCCAAGTTTTACATTTTATGTTGTGTTATATGTTTTCAAGTGACTCTTAACCCATGTTTTAATGAATCTCCAGGTTTATCTGCAGTTCTTTTTTTTAACTGCCATTTTTACTTCCTTAGTTAATACACAAAGAAGTAAACAATGTTTAAGAAATAATATATTTATTCTTTCTTTTAACCTTTATTTTTAACTGAAACAGTTCAACATAAATATGAAAGTACAGTGTGTACTGACATTTCAGTTTCTTAAGCACTTACATTTCACGTAATGTTTTTGTTTTGCAAATATTTGAAAAACTTTTGTAATATGATTTCTGATGCATATGTACAGCCATTCATTAGTGTGTAATGTGTTACCCTCACAAGTGCAATTTGAGGTACTTGCCTGAGGACAATTTGATGTGTGCACTGTAAGTGTCAGGGACTAAAACCACCGATCTTCTGAATAGTGAACAACTTTTGCCACCTCCTGAGCACCAGCTGCCCTAAAGTTTTTGTCATGTTTACACTTTACTGGTGATGGGGAACGAAACGGCTCTTAGAGCCGACACTTTGACGTGGACAACACAAGCCGACTCCTTATTGGGAGCCATGGGGTTTTTTTTCCTTTCTCTCACCCTCTCTCTCACACACACTTCACTCCGTACACGAGCCTTGTGCTTTGCGCTGGGCAGAGGGGGGAGGGGCGGTAGTTACACTCGCAGTAGCACAGGAACAGAGCGGGAGGGAGAGAGAGAGAAAGAGCGCCAGGGACAACGTCACATTAGAAAGGTATAGTTATCATCCGCAACTATTTTCAGTTGCGGATGATAAAGGATTCAGAAAGTTTATTCATGCAGGCCCATATGACAGAGAATGTGCATCTTCTTTTTGTTTTCATATTTTTTCATATTTATATTTAATTGTGTTGTGGTTTGCAGTGTTTTGTGTTGTTTCACTTTAAACTTGTTTAAAAGGAAAAAGCTGAAAATTTAAATAGTTAAAGTTGAAATGTAAATAGTTGGTTTTTGTATTATATGATTTATTAAATTTTATGTGGAGTGAATAAATAAAAGTATATTTACGGTGGCCCCTCGAGACAAAGCACAAAACTTCAAAACATGTAAAAACTCCAAATCACGTAAAAACTCCAAAACACAACAGAAGAGCTCCAGGATGCTAGGGGCAGTGTTGAGCTTTGTTACCTAGTGGCCACACAAGCCAGGAAGTATCAACGACCGGATTTGGTGTGTGGTAGTAACAAAAATTAACATTTTTTTTTAATTATTTGAATACATATGAGTGCTTGTGTATAAATACACAAACAATACACATATGCTTTCAATTGTGTAATTTAAGTGATCTAGGTAGCTCTGTTTTGGAAGTTCAGTTAACGCTAGAAATGTGTTTTGGAGTTTGTACGTGTTTTGTCTCTGGGGGCCACTGTATATATTTATATATAAACATATATAAATAAAACCACTTTTTTTACATTAGTAATTCCTTTTGTGAATAATTTTATATTGTTGTTGATAATAAATTAATTAAAGCAACAAAACAACCTGAAGAGCCAGTTGGGAGCCGAAAGAGCCGGTTCTCTAAAAAGATCCGGAAATCCCATCACTACACTTTACCTGAAATTTAAGCTCAAGTCATTGCTTTTATTTCAGATTAACATTTCAGCTGACCCTTCTATACTTCTATTTTATTACTTACACTTAAACTTTTTTCAGTTTTCAATAAGTGCAACTACAACTCTTTTAAGTGCATCAACCCCCTAGTACACATATAACCTTACTTGACAGACACAAAAACTTGTAGTTGGAATTCATTTATATCTTGTAATTTTCTACAGCTTCAGCCACAGTAGAGGACTTCCAGATTCGTCCACACTGCCTGTTTGTCCATTCGTACCGAGCTCCAGCCTTCTGCGACCACTGTGGGGAAATGCTGTGGGGACTTGTACGCCAAGGACTTAAATGTGAAGGTAAAATATCCTACTCCCATAAGATGAAATCATGAGAACATTATGGCTGAGGTAAAATTTTAAAAAGAGACACTATCCTTTTCTCCAGGTTGTGGTCTGAATTACCACAAGCGCTGTGCCTTTAAGATCCCCAACAACTGCAGCGGGGTGAGGAGGCGTCGTCCCTCCAATGTCTCATTGACAGGCGGGATAATCAACATCGGGCGTCCGCTCTCTGCTGAGCCTTCACCTCCCCACTACAGTGATGATGCTTTATTGGTCAGTACAAAAGCACAGACCTGTGGAACACAGTTTTTCAGAAATGTTGAAGTAACTTTTTTTGTTCTTTTTTTGTTGTCCAGTCTCCAGTCAGTCCTAGCATGGAGGTAAGTCCTCCCATCTTTTTACATAGAAATACTTCTCTAGGGTCATTTTTACTTATTGCATAATAGTGAACAGGCAGCCAAATTAAATTATACTGTGCAATTCATTCTCCCATCTGTTAGTCTATTTATCATATAGTTCTTGCAGGCAACGGTAACCCCAGAGCTGAGAAACCAAACTCTAACTAAATCTGCTGCCATAAAAAATCATTTTAAGTGTGACTTATCATGGAAAACAGGTCCACTGGCAAAAACTAGAAACTTATGAAAAACTTTGAAATGCTTTGCTTGTTTCTCCCAACAGCAGAAGAACCAGTTAGATTACTTTCCTGGTAGAGAGCGGCGATCCAGCTCACAATCATATGTTGGCCGTCCCATTGAGCTTGACAAGATCTTACTGTCAAAAGTCAAAGTTCCCCACACATTCCTGATTCACTCTTACACCCGGCCTACTGTCTGCCAGCACTGCAAGAAGCTGCTCAAAGGCCTCTTCAGGCAGGGCCTGCAGTGCAAAGGTGAGCTGTTGTTCTGAAAACCTGCTGTAGATGTTTTTCAAAGCTCTAGATGTCAAACTTAAAACTGTCTCTGCTTGTAGCACAGCTTGTCCAGTGTCCAAAACATTTTGCATTAAGATGCTTAAAGAAACCTTGTCCTTTCAGAATCATTGAGACATTTCTTTGGCTCAACCATGTAAAAACTACCAGTAGGTTCACTGTTTACTTGTTAATGTAACCATTAGATACTGTAATACAGTATAATACAGAATAATGATTTGCCATGGTGCTACATGTAATGCTGCTGTAAAAGGACTAGTAGAGAGACTGAATACTGAATGTGTGAAAACATTACCTGGATAAATAAAGACTCTGCTGATTGTACTATTAAAATATAGAGTTTAGATAATGTAGGTAGATGATTTTAAGTACCTGGGATAAATTCCAGGCAACAGAAGCAGTGTTGAGGAGAGGTGAAGAAGAGTGTGCAAATGGGGGGAGCTGTTAGAGACAAATGTCAGGGCTGATTTGTTACAGAAGGATAGTGAATGGGAAGTTTATGAGATGTTCGCGAGACTTGCTATGTATGGTTAAGACACAGTGACAAACAGATAGGAGGCCAAGCTGGTAGTGGTAGAGTAATGAAGATGTTAAGATTTTCATTGGAACTGAAAGTTAGTAAATTCTAGGGACAGCTCAGGTTGAGTGGTTTGTAGACAAAGTGACACAGTGCAAAGGAGGAATAGCAGATATATTCCACAATCAGTGATGGGAAGGTTACTTTTACAATGTATTCCACTACTGATTACAGAATACATGCCCCAAAATGTATTTTGTAACCTATTCCGTTACGTTACTCAATTAGAGTAACTTATTCTGAATAATTTGGATTACTTAATATATTATCAGGCAATTATGTAGGCAACTACATGAATGTACTATTGCTGTGTGATCTTTTACTATTACTGAAGAATACTCGCCATACCAATACCAACTAGATGTTTAAATCTTAATATAAATGAGTAACAGTAGGGTGGACATTAGGTAAGGCTGCACTTTTTGCAGCGATCTCATATAGAAAAGTATTGCGCGCATATATTTTCAGGTCCGCGGCTCCGAACTGTAGTAAAGGGACCTCTGGCTAATACGTCGGGTTCCATGTCGGGCTCG